CCGTGAGGCTGACGCCCGCCGAAGCTGGCCAAAGGATTAAGGAGCTGCTGTCCGGGATAGGCAATACCTCGGAGAGGTAAAGGGCAGGGCCGCTCGGCAGCGTGCACCGATGCTGTTACTTTGCGAGCCGCTCTGTTTATGGGCGCCTAGCTAGATTTTCCTATGTCAGCTCCTGGCTCAAGGGTCGGCAATAAAGCGTTTTGCAGCCAGACAGTAACTGCTCCAACATTTACCTTTCCGGAGTGGTTCCTCCAGGAGACTGGCTGGGAAGTCCCTGACCCTGATGGGTTTAAAAATATTGTTTAATGCCAGCACTGTCGTCTGGCCCTTTCCCTCTCGACGCAGGCAGCTCTTTGATGCTGCGAGCGGGCTGGTGTTTACAGCCTCAGTGACAGAAGGTGGGAGAGGCAGGGTGCCAGGCGCCCAGACAGCCCGCAGCACTTGCCAAGTCCACAGTAACAGGCAGGGCAGGCGCGTGCCTTAGACCTCTGCGGCCATCTGCGTTTGAGGAGGAGAGTCAAATGAGTCCCCCTCCCTTTGCAGGGGGATTCCCGAAGCTATCGGTACCTGCCTTTGTTGTGAGCAAGATTTATAGCCCACCCATGTTTTATCTTGTTTCCTATTGCCCGGACCCACTTAGGACCAGCTCAGCTGACATGGGCTCGTGGGTAGAAAGGCCTTGCCGGCCCTGTGTCTTCCTGAGCAGCAGAGATCCCAGGGCTGCCTTGGCAAGGGGCCTCTGGGGTGTTCCCGGGGCAGCATAGCGCACCGGGCTCGCGTGAGAGGCTGTTTGGCTCATTCACTGCAGCAGGGTGGCACGCGCTGAGCCCTTCGTGCAGCCTTCGGTGCTGGCCTTTGGCTCAGCCTTGCTGTGCTCCTCTTGCCTGCTCAAAGTGTCCCGGCCGCCATCCCTCTTGCTGTTTCAGCTGGCGCTTTGTCCTTGCAGAGTTTCCTTCCTGAAGAAGGCGGTGGATCAGAAGAACCGAGCGCTGGCCAGTCTGAACCAGGTGATGAATGTGAGTGCGGCTTTGCTGTCCAGCCAAGAAGGCCAGAAGCCCATTGCCTGCACCGTCACTGCCAACTGGAGCTGCCTCCTGCTCCAGGATACCGTAACCATCTCCTGTGTGCTGGAGAACTGCAGCGAGTACAGCCTGGAGGAGGGCTGGACCCTGTGCGTTCAGCTCTTTGCCAGCCCCTGTGCCTTAGAGGAAGATTCTGTGGATTCAGGCACCACTTTCACCTTCCCCATCGACCAGCTCCTCCCCGGGAGCAAAAGGGAGCTGACGCTGCCCCTTGGCTCTGCTGCGGACACCAAGCTGGACCTGCCTCTGACCATCTCCTGTGCCCTCTACTACAGTTTACGAGATATTCTGGGCAGTGGCTCTGACTCCTCCGAGGCCCTGGATGACTTCTTCCCAGACGACTCGCCCATCCTCTCTCCGGACAGAGAGGGGATCTGCTTGCCTCTCAGCGAATGCACCATTGACATGTTGCAGTGCCTGCGCTTTGAGAGCAGCCCCCCCGGGCCTGATGCCTCCCCTCCAGCGGCTGTCCTCCCTGCCCCCCCAGACCCTGTAGAGACCTTCCTGAAAGTGTCCAGGGAGCAGACTGAACCCGACGGGGTGAAAGACAGTGAGCTGCCACGCGCTCCGGGAGATGGAAACCCGCCTCCCTCGGCGGCATCCATCAGGGTGTCCTCGGAGCTGCTGAAAAACGCACTGAAAAACTCCAGCTCAGGTGGGTCCCTCCAATGCTGCCTGGAGAAGAAGCATCCCAGGAGCTGTTGGTGTTTCTGCCAGGCAGATCCTTGGGGAGACACACTTGCGTTCCGGTTTGTGGCCATCCCAGGAGAGGCTGGGATCGGAATATCATGCGGGGCAGACCCACGCTCGTGCTGGGACAGTCACTGGCACCTTCCCTGGTGGGGAGGTCTGGGTGACCCTGCACAGCCATGCCACCCAGGCTCGTGTCCAGGCCCCTCGTGGGCTGGCATGTGGAACAACACGATTGCGTGACTGAGCTTGGCCTGTTGCGGGGTGCAGGGCTACAGAGGGGGAGGAACAGCCCCAGCCCTGGCATCGGCCCTGGCCTTGTGGCAGCTGCGCGCACCCAGGGGGCACCAGGCACGCTCCGCTCTCGCCAGCACTTGCTGCACCGCTCTCGGCAGCTGTCCTGGCTCCTG